GAGCACATAAAACGCGATAAATTATTAAAATGACTAAAAACTGGAATTAGGACGATATGCACGTTTTTTTTTTTTTTTTTTTTTTTTTTTAAATTTTGTTTTTATTTTTTTTTCGAACGTCCTTTTCTCCCTCGCATACGTATGTAGCACACTCCGAACGTAACCGCTAAAACGATCCCCGATACATCCACGGTACCTACACGTGGCGTACTTGACGAGGAACTCGTTGCGGAGAACGTGGGGGAGAAATGCGCAGTTACTGAGTCGCGCGCGTATGACACACGTGCGGGAAAGACTCGGAAAACAAATGGAAACACATGCACACCGCAGATTTTTGTCGGATATGTATGTTCGATACGCGATGTATCGAGAGATAATTGTACGGGGTTATATCCGTCGGTGCCGGATTAATCGTCGGATAGCGAGAGGTGTCTGCTTGATGGTCGCAGCCTCTCGTTTTCGTGAACGGTACGAGATTCCGGCGGTTATGTCGTCGCCAACGTCGTCGTCGTCGTCGTCATCGTCGCCGTCGTCGTCGTCGTCGTCACCTTCGTCGTCACCCTCGTTGCCGCCGCCACCGCCGTCGTCGCCGCCGCCGCCGCCGTCGCCTCCTTCGTCGCCGTCTACGTCGTCTGTAAAGTCTCTGTAATGCAGCAACCGAGTTGCAAAAAAAAAAAAAAAACGGTTCGGGACAAACGCTGGTCGAGAAGCTCGATGAGATGCCAAAGTTCCGAGCCCAGTAGCTAGATCGTCGAGATATAACATGTATCTCGGACATGGTCGAGACCCACAGACCCCTAGCAGGTGCTTTAGAAAACAAAACCGTACCCAAAGTCCCTCGGCGGAATTGTCTCTAGAGACGGAGATCGTGAAATCGCCGACCGGAATCCGTGCACGGATTTTTGAGAGACACACGGTTCGATGCCGAAGAAAAACTCGAGAAAACGGAAAAATAAAAGCGGAACACGTACAGGACACGGGTTTACCCTTAGATCTCTCGCGTGAATAGAGAAGCGAAACACACACACATATACATGTCCGATCGTCGTCATCCTTCGTCGTCGATTGCCGCATTGCAAAACAAAACAAAAACAAAAAAAAAAAAAGCACAAAACCGATAGAAACGCGCCGGCCGAGATTGTAATACGCTGTATTATAATATGATATATGATGTAGGACACGATGATAGGCGCCCCTACGCCGACAACCATCCATGACGAGGATGTGCATCTTGAAGGGAGCGAGCGAGCGAGTGGGCTTTTGAGAGACATACAAGAGAGCTTCAAGTAGAAATCACGGGAGAGAGTGGGATCTTCGCGACGTGTACGATGAAGAGCGACGTGGTGTCAACCGCAAGAGGAGGTAATTGTCTATCGAAATAAAACTCTCTCTCTCTCGATGTGTCACGTCGAGAAAGGGAAAGAGAAGGTATAATAACCCCCGCTCGAATATAAAAGACCACCACCCCCCCGGGAGGGATCGCTTTGTGTTGATCGCACGTCGCATATCTCGGAAGGCGAGTTGTGTCTCCAATCTTGCCCGCTCCGCTTGCAAGCCTTATCGCGATATATATATATATATAATCCGTTTCGCGACGCGCGAAAAGAGAAAAATCGAGAAAAAAATAAAATTTAAAATAAAGAAACGCAAAATATGCGGTTAAAAAAATTTTGTCCCGTCTAGCAAAATATGCGGTTGTCAATAAAAAAAAAAATCTTTGAAACGCCTTTGAGAGCCCTTTGTTTTCTTTCTTAGGAGAAGCGGCGATTCCTAGGGGATAGCCCGTTCTTTGCAAGAGAGTAGACTTCTTCTTCTGTAGAGATTGAGCCGGGCAAAAATCACTGAGCGGCACAATAGACTCTACGACGTGCTTTGCGCCGAATATCGGCCTGGAGCAGATTCTAAATGTGTCTCTCTTTCTTTTTCTTTTTCTCTCTCTCTCTCTCTCCCCCCGCTTCTTCGACGAAAGCACGAGAAGGTATCGTAAAACCGAACACTTTTCCTGTGTAAGACTCTCTCTCTCTCTTTTCCCGTAACGTGTAAGAAATTCATTTCTTATCTTCTGGGCTCGAAATACGCCCGTCGGAAATAAATTTTCGTTGTGAGTCTCGTCTAGCATTAGTCACTTCTTCTCTATCAGTTGCATCTTAGAGATAATAAAAATGCGCAAACGGGTAAGTAAAGCGAAGACCTCGCTCGTTTACACAAATTTAATTTAGCAAACGCGTCGTCAATTAACGCGCCGAAAGATTTGTGAACGCTGTAAAATTTTAAATCGTCGTTTGTAAAATTGTGTTGCAGGATGTCGTTGCTTTGTTTTGACTCAACTTCCGGAGCTTTGAACTGAAGGAAAAAAAAAACACTTCAGCACACACATGTAAAAACATAACGCAATAAAGATTGTACTTATCTCCACGCGAGAGAGCTCTCGTTAACTTCCTTATTTAAATTTATAAATACAGTAACCCAGTGACATCACGCGCGTTGTAAATTTTTTTTTTTTTAGTTTTTTTCTTTTGCGCCGTGTCATCACGCGCAACGATTGCGATATCGCAAACACAACGTGTAAAAAAAACAGACGATGCCATAAATGCGCAAGACGATGATGCCGCAAGCGCCTTTTTAAAATTGCACCAATAATGTCTCAATAAAACACACCTTTAACAACAAAGGTGCAACCGCCTCGACACGTGCATTTGCGACACCGCCTGTACGCCTTATAGGAATTACGCAATTTAATTAAACGCTCAAGATGACGCGCCGAGTGATTAAACCACACAGGCACGGTGGGATGACTAAGGATGAACAGAATTGTGTTTTTGATCTAACGTCGCGTCTGTTGTAGTTCAAGGTCTTGCACCTTGTTTCTTTATACATTCTTTTTCCAAAAATGCTAAAATGTTCGCCCGGAGTCTCTCTTTGTAAATAAATTTAAAACACGACACACGGACAAACAGCGTGTCAAAGACCAATTCGCAGAGATCTTGGTTCTCTGATGAAACGAGCGCGCGCGACGCGACGGAGTTACGCAAGAGCCAGGAAATCGTCGCGAATCGGGAAACTGCGCTCGTACTCGGTTTAATTTTGCTTATGTAGATAAGATTATACGTATTGTTGTTTTTCTCGTCTCGTTCTTTTCCGCCGCTCGGGCTCGAGCTAATACGTAGCCGTCGCGATAACGAAGGCGGGAAGTAGACGACGAGCGCACTTCGGTCGGACCGCGTGCCAGTCGTACTCGGATGCTGTCGAGTTCGGACGCACAAGGAAAATTATAAGAGAAGTCGGTGGCGCAGCGGCGGCACCGCTATTGTAGATTTTTCCATCGTCGTTTCGCGTCCGTCCGTCGGCAACTCCTGACCTCTCGGTACAAAAGCACACATCGCGCCCAAAATGGACAAGGATTTACAGTAAGTAGACAATCCTCGCTGCGTTTACCTGAGATCGACGATTTTTTTTTGTTGATTTCGTTTGTTTATCGCGCGAGTGCGTGTCACGGATTTTTGGGAATTGCAACTGCGAGAATCGCGATTGAGGTTATGTACGCGCGCCTCGCGGCGATCGTGACGATCCGCGAAGATGTGCGAAACGCGCACGTCGCAGCAACTTTTTTCCTCGCGTACGTAAACGTTTGGATGATTCTCATATTTGTCGCACGCGATACAAAGCGGTTGTTCGCGGAGTTGATCTCGAGCGATCGTCGAGCGAACGATGACATTGTACAGTTACGAGATGTAATTTTCGATCGCTCTTGGAAAAGAAAGATTCAGGTTATGTAATTATCAAGGTCGATTCTCATTGACGCAATTCCATGCGAAAATCTCTTTTGACACACGCGATGCGATACTGTCAGAAGTTCGTCACAACCGCGCGTTTCGCAACCAACACATGTACGGGGTACTATAAATAAATACAAATGTAAAACAAATGTAGGGAGGGGGGGACACAGAAGTATTAATAATACAGTGATAATATTATGAAATAATGTTACTTGTATATATAACAGATTATTTATATAAAACATGTATATTATTCCATCCCGAACAGACATGGGTCTCCCAGACCCACTCAAAAATTGCGCATCGGCGTTTTTAGTAAAATTTTTAAAAATTTTTTTTAGTACTATTTATTTAGTATTTTTATTTATTTACTATTTTTTTTTAGTGTTTCTTTAAACGCTTATGCTGCAAAACTACTAGAGATGTTTTTAATTTATTTTTTTATCTACACAGAATTGTTCAAATTTTTGATTCAAAAAAACAAAATTGAAAAAATATTGATAACATATGATTTTTCGCGGAGATATTTGATTTTAAAAAGACGCGTGGGTCTCACAGACCCCCAGTCTGTTTTAGATCGTTTTTCAGGTCTATCCGCGACGCGCGCGAGTTATTTATACAAAAATATAACAATAATACAATAATATCGCAACATTTTTATATCGAACAGATAAATTGTCAAATTTGTTAAAAGAGAATGTGTAATTTAAAATTTTTCTCCGAGAAGCTGCAGTGTTTATTAATGATAAGAACAAACTTGTACCCCCTCCTCACTTTTCAGAGAAGGACTGTTGTTGGGAATGGGAAATCCGCTTCTTGATATTTCGGCGATCGTAGATCACGAATTTTTAAAGAAATACGACTTGAAATCGAACAACGCTATTCTCGCCGAGGATAAGCACAAGCCGTTGTACGACGAGTTAATTAACTTGTACAAAGCTGATTTTATTGCCGGCGGATCTGTACAAAACACCATGAGAGTGGCGCAAGTGAGTAAAAACAATTTACAAAGAAAAGTTTCTTCTTTTAGTCTCACCGACGGTGAGATTTACTTTGGCAAGAGATGTTGTGTGATAATTTTGAAATTTTGTTATTTGCATAACCGCAAACTAGTGGTTCTTGCAAAAACCTAAAGTCGCCACGTACATGGGCTGTGTCGGTAAGGACAAGTACTCGGAGATACTGGAGGACAAAGCGACGAGGGACGGTTTGAACGTTCGGTACCAATATACCGATCAGGAGCCAACGGGAACGTGCGCGGTGCTTATCACCGGCAAAGATCGCTCTTTGTGCGCTAATCTAGCGGCGGCTAATTGCTTCTCGCTTACGCACATCGAGAAACTGGAAAACAAACAGCTCATAGACAGAGCGGAATATATTTACATATCAGTAAGTAAAATTTTCTGAAAAACTAATACATCCTCTTCCTGTATTGCAAAAAAAAAAAAAAAAAATTGAATAAATTTTCTATTCCAGGGGTTCTTTTTGACAGTCAGTCCGGAATCCATACTGGCGATGGCGAAACACGCGAACGAGACCGACAAGATGTTCATGATGAATCTGAGCGCACCGTTTTTGTGCGAGTTCTTTAGCGGCCCGATGCTGGCCGCAATGCCTTACGTGGACATTTTATTCGGCAACGAGACGGAAGCGGACACGTTCGCGAAGGTCAACAATTTTAACACGACCGACAGGAAGCAAATCGCGCTGAAGATATCGGAGATGGAGAAGATCAATGGGAAGAGAAAAAGAATCGTCGTTATAACGCAGGGCGCCGAGGCGGTGCTCGTGGCCGAGAACGGGACGGTGACGGAATATCCTGTCGTGAAACTGTCGGAGGACAAAGTCGTGGACACCAACGGCGCCGGGGACGCTTTTGTCGGAGGTAACGCAGCGAGAGAGAAGAAACTCAATCGATTTAGCAGCGAAAAGAAACAGATCGTTGATCGAAAAAATCTTATCATTTTTCAGGCTTTCTGGCGCAACTTGTACGGAGAAAAGACGTAGAAACGTGCGTGAAATGCGGCATCTGGGCGGCGACACAGATCGTTCAAAGATCTGGATGTACTTACGAAGGGAAACCAAGTTTCCAGTCTTGATCACCGCCGTTGGAATAGCGATAATATAAATTGTGTACTTAACAAGAGTTCTAACGTGCTTCTCCTTTTTTTTTTTTTTAATCTTAATTTTTTCTCATCTTTTGTACCAAACTTGTATAAAGAAAAAAAAACTTGCATTTTATGTGCGCACAACTGTATATTCGAATTGATTTCGCTTCTGAATTGAAAATCCGTGTAAATCTCGCATTGTGAGAAAAAAAGGAAAAAATATCACACACTCCAACAACAACGTATTTACCAGGTGTAAGAATTTTACGCACTCGTTCTCTCTCTCTCTCTTTCTCTCTCTTCCTCATTTCCATCTATATTTTCCTCGCAATAATTGCTCAAAATCAATATAAATTCTCCGTTCTACATCCCGATGATTTTGTATAACGCAATTTTTTCGGTCACAATATTTTGAGAGTTTCAAAAATAACTAAAAACTCTACAATTTCACACATACAAAGTGTTAACAAAGTAACGAAATCGTTTGTAATGGAACAATCAATAATTGACGAATGTTTGGGAGAAGAGAGCGTAAACTGCGCAGAATTTCTCATCGAGCGCGCGTATACTTACTCTTCTGCTCGCTAATTTACATACCGTTCGGGAAAATCAATACAATCAGCGAGTTATGTAGATATTACCTGGAATTTGTCGGTTAGCTTTGCCGTATATATATAACGCGGGGTCGCACCGCGATATACCGCCGCGGACTGTAGCTTTGTATTCAATTATGCGCGACGTTACACGCGTGCGTCGTGCGCGCGCGGTGTGTGTGTGTGTGTACGCGACCGGAGCTGCGGAGTTTTGAACGGGATGAACGTTTAACTAGCGGTATATAACACAAAGAGAGAGAGAGAGAGAGAGAGAGAGAGAGCAAGAGAATATGGAGCGAACTGAATAAACATACGGTCAACCGGGAAACGGCGGCGGCCCGAAAAAAAAAAATCAATAAGTCTCATTACGAAACCGCATGGAAACTGCATTTCTGCGCCACAAATTTTTTTCTTTTTTTTAATTTCGTTGTATTAAACCGGCGCAGAAATGACGCGTGTCATTCGCGTCGCATTATCGCGCGGAATCAACTCGAACACTTCCTTCACCTACTTTTTACGCGGCGTCGATATACAAAGAAGCACAGTTACAGTTAGTTTTCGTCGCGTTAAATAATTGATGACGAACACCTCAACAATACGTATCGCTCGGTTTTTTTTTCGCACCGATGTACACGTCCAGTTTGTTTGATTGGACTTTAGTTCTTTTTTCTTTTTTTTTTTCTTTTTTTAAAGTAGACCAAAGAAGTACGCATTTGTTTATTTAAACAAATCGCGCGTACACGTCATATTACGCGAGCGTCGGTGTGGTTCAATGTTCGCCTCTGCCACGTGATATTATTATACCTGCGAAAAAAATACAATTAAACAATATTATACATAATAAATCCTATGCGCGGTGCGTGCAAGGTGCGTTATACGGATATCGATTCACTCTTTGCAACAAAACGGGCTTGTGTCACAAAGGACGCGTGTCCGTTAAGTGAGACACGCGTCTCTCACTTCGCGACAAGAGAGCGAAGTGAAAGAGGAACCCGCGAACTCTCTCCGTAGCCGCGGTCGTAGCGCCGAGCCGGTTTCTGGGTGATAACCCGCGTTGCTCGCCATTGCTGCTGGCGATCGGCCTCGTTCCTTTTCGCACTCGTTCCCGCGAGCGTCGGTGTGTGTGTGTGTGTGTGTCGCACTTTGCGCACACACACGCGCGCGCGCGCGCGCGCGATTATCTCGTACACACAACGTAAAACTCATTTATAAATTCATATCCCGCGCGCGAACACACACGCAAATCCCCCGGTCTTTTGCATTCTCCGCGCATAAGACGCATACCATTGCAGACGCATATTGCGCGACGCGTGCACGAACATCTGCGCGCGAATGTGTCGCACATATGCAAGATATGTGTGTGTGCGTGCGTGCGTGTGTATTGCGTAGAGTGCAAATATTAAATGTGTAATGCAATGTGTTGTGTTGGTTGTGTGTGTTGAACGAACGGCGCGCCTCGCCGGGATTGGTCGGCGGAAAGCGTATCGGCGCCATGACGTTTTCTTGATTGTGTTTCGCACTTCCGCCACCGACAGCGCCAGGGAGCGCGCGTTTCGTCGTGCGCAGTGCCGCAGCTCCCCACCGCGTGCGCGCAGTGTGTAACCCCCGCGCGCGACCGCCATCTTTGTCAAGTGGGTAACCTTTGTTGATTTGTGTGAAATGTGACGCCGTTGTCGCGAGATAATTGGTGATCGTGATTACGTATCCCGGTGTGTCCCGGTGCGCCTAGTGGACCTGTGACCGTTTGTCGTGCGTCTGTGTGGATTAAATTCGTCGGATTCCCGTGAGCCAGGTAAACGTGTGTTTCCCCACTTCTTCCGATCCCGTCGGGAAACTTCTCCGTCGAGAAAAACCGCACACACACGGGAACGTCATCGTCGTCGTCGTCGTCGTTCTCCCTCGCGGGATAGACAGAAACGCGACGCCGTCGCTCGCTCGAGAAAAAAAACACAAGCGTGATTGCGAGCGGGAGTGAATATAAAAAAAAAAAAAAAAAGAGAACGGAAAAAATTTCCGTACGTGGCGTGTAGCATCATCATCGTCGTCGTCGTCGTCGTCGTCGTCGTCGCAACTCGTGCGATGCCATTCGCGACGTTTTTTTTAACGGGCTGCGCCCGATCGCGCGCCGACGGGGGACAGCGATCGCGGACGGCTGAGCGACGAGGACGCGTCGCCGCGTGTCCGTCCGACGGGCGTCGTGCGCGTTGGAAACGCGCCTGGACGGCGCGCGAAAAAGAGCTCCCGTACGGAGCGAGAGAACGAGAGCGGTCTCGTGTCCGGCCCCAAGATGGCTGCCCATCGCGCACGGGCTTCGCTCTCGCTGCCTCTCGTCCGCCTCGGCGCGATTACGCGTCGCTGGCGTCGACGCGAGCCTCGATCGTGTGCCCGCGTACGTGCACGACAGCGTTTTTCACGCGTCGATCGGAACAACGTCGCGTTCCGACGAGCCGTTTGTTCTCCGCCCGTCGGACGACGTTGTTTGTTCCCGTCCCGTTGACGACGGCCGTCGGTGCGCCGAACCGTCGGCGGTTTAACGTTTAAACGACGTTCATTTCCAAGATACACGCAAAGACAAGTCGTGCACGCTCGACTACGGGGGGAGCGCACGCGGTAAATGCGTTATGCGCGAAGAATATTCGCTCAAAATGGCTGACCCGTTGTCAAACCGCAAACGGTACAAATTACCGCTCGCGCGATGACCCGAGCTATCGCGCGCCAAATTCGTGGCTCGCTCATGGCCGATCGATCAATCGTACGTTCGTCCGGTCGGTTTTGTTTCCCTCTCTCTTTTTCTCTCTCTCTTCTCGCTCGCTCGCTCCGTCTTTCCTCCGAGTCTTTTTTTCCACCTTCTCGCGTTGCCTCGGTCACTCCGGAGATTCGAGGCGAACGCACGCTACTCGCGCGTGCACGTCGCTTTTGCGTCGAGCGACGGGCGGCAGCAAGTTAGGATCGTTCACGACAAACCGCTCCTCGACAGCAGCTGCTCTCACTCTCTCCCTCTCTTTCTATATCTCTTTCTCTCTCGCTCTCTGTCTGACTCTCCGCTCTTCTCCTCGCCTTTGGTCGCCATCGCTCGCTCCGTTCGTTCGTTCGTTCGTTCGTTCGTTCGCTCGCTCGTTCGTTCGTTCGCTCGCTTGCTTGCTTGCTCGCTTGCTTGCTTGTTCCCGTTCGTACATATGTACGTACACGTTCGTTCATTCCTTCGCTCGTCGAGTGAGAGGGAACCCGGCAAACACGCGCAGCCGGCGGCGTTTCTCTCTTCGCCCTCGGCCCCATCGTCTTAACCGGACGAACGACGGACAAATAGACGGGACGTGTGTTCGTTGCGAGCCGGTATTTCATTTCGCCTTACTTAACGAGAGACAGTGTGTGTGCGCGAGAGACGCGCACACACGCGTGAGAGCCGTAAGAGACGAGATCTAATCCGTGAACACACGCGCGCGCGTAACCCGCTCGACGCATCACGACACGTTTCTTTTTTTCATCGCTGTGCGACGATGTTGTCGCGACGATGAAGATCCCCCCCGACTAGCGTTCGGTAAGAAAATGATGATCTGCTGCTCGCGGAGTTTTTGGTGATTTTCTCTTCCGAGACGAGTCGAGGATCCGCGGCAGCAATTTCGACGAGAGATATGCGCTCGAGTCGGGAATAAGAGCCGTTTCGCGTTTCTCCGCGAGATGTTTGCGGAAACACGTGGTCTTTCCGAGATTACCTGTTCGGAGTGCTTGTGTGTGCGTGTGTGTGTGCGTGCAATGTGCAATGTGCTTGCCGCGTCACGGGAAAAAAAAAATCTTCGTTTCCGTGTTAAAGAACGAGCGATCTGCTTTCAATGAAGAGTATTGAGAGAGTCGAGCGTCGCATAGTAAATCCGCGTGTATATATATACCGCGGTATCTCTTTCATTGAAGACACGATAAAGCCGCGACGATAAACGGCGTTTCATTGACGTTTGCACGCGACGACGCTCCGGCGATAATCCGTTCGGAACGTGATTTTTTTTTTTTTTTTTTTTTTGGATCGACGTCTCCTCGTCCGAGAGAGGTTCAGAGTTCTTCTCACTTTTGTTTTTGTTTTTGTTTTTTTTTGTCACCGCCAAGTTTCCTCTTCTCGCGAAGAGAGATTCACCGTTGGAAAATCAATAAAAAAAATTCTCGCGATGCACGCGAGAGACGTGCAACACGCGCGCGCGCGCACGCGACCGCCACTTCCGACGTAAACAGAGAGAGAAGTGAGAGATTCGCGCGACACGCGCGTTAATCTCTGCGTGACGATTAGCTATTTTTCGCGAGCTTTATCTTAAAATAGACAGCGGTTGTAATAAAATTAATGCGATACGGTTGCGAGTGTGTATGTGTGTAGTGGTACGCGCGAAGCCGCGGAATGCAAAAACCCCGCGCGGTGTGTAATGAGCGCGTCCCCGAATTGCGTCACTTTGCGTCATTCTTCCGGCGATAATTTATTAATCGCGTAATTCCGGGTCTCCGCGTCTTGTGTGCAGAGTCGATGTAACTCTCGGCGAGAATCATCGGTCGTCTGCACTTATCGCGCCACTTGTCGCGCGAACGTTTGTATATATTGTATATTTTTTCGTTCGCATTATTCATTATTGTTGCGCACAAACGTTAGTGTTGTCGCAGGCCTGTTTACGTCCCGTTTCAATTCGCGAATTCTCTTCGCTGTTTTTTCATTTGGAAAAAAAAAAAACTCGGAGAGGAAAATTCCCAAAACGTTCTCGTTTTTTTCGTAGTTTTTGCGCTCAAGACCAAAAGTTTCTCTTCGAAAGATCTTTCCTCGATACTTTTTTATTTCGAACGTCTCTGAGTTCGTAAAACTCAGGTAGATGTTCCAAAGTAAAAGGAAAATTGCCGGAAAACATGACGAAAAGAGCGGGAAACTGTGATCGTAAATCAGTCCTAGCGCAGATGTTGGGAGTGTTTTTTTCTTGTTTTTTTCGCATTCGGAATCCCAGGCATTCGCGTGACGTCAGTGGGAAAAACTGCTGAGAAGAATTCTGGAATGAAGCCGGTTACGTCGTCACGCGCAGTTTCTTTTTTTCTTGGTTTACTTCGTGTTGTTTCATTATCACCGGCCTGGGTCAATCCGTATCAGAACCGTTGCGGACATCACAGCTTTTGGTCGCTCAATTCTCTCCGTACATTCGCCTAATTGTGCTACAGTGTACATTTCGCCGAGATATCCGAACGTGAAACAGCGTCGTCTCTGATTACTCGATTTTTTTTTTTTTTCATGAAAAAAAGAAACAAATTTAAGTGCAAACAAGTTATCCGTCGTTGGGTTAGTGCGCTTCGTCGCGCGAGAACTATTTTTGTTTTCTCTAATTTTTTAAGTCGAATTTAATTCTTTGCCACTAAACAAAATTTTTATAATATTGTATTTTTTTTTTTTTTTTTAACATCAAAGTTTGTAAAATAACTTTATCTTTTTATTTGCAGATTCTAAAACATTTGTTTCCTTTGAAGAAGTTGAACAGAATTGAAGAGGTAAATTCGCAAGCTTAAATTCGATTTCTTACACTTGAGAAATACAATCGGGAATATGTGCACGTGCATTCACATCGGTGCGAGAAGGGAGAGGAGATGCGATGTATCCGGGGATTGCCGACGGGGTTCTCCGAGAACACGAGCCTAATCTCTCTTTTTGTTTTTTTTTTTTTTTTTTTTTAACGCGTTTGATTCGATTTCCGCCCGGGTGATCGATGCCCGTATATACGCGCGGCGCACGAATAGTGGATATTGCCACGAAAACGGTGGGTGGTCTTTTGTCTCCTCTCGAACAATGGATCTCTCTCTCTCTCTCTCTTTCTCTTTCTCGCGGTTCGATACACCGCCGCCGTTTACCTGAGAATTACGGTTCCCGGTATATATGTGTATATGTATATCCGTTCTGAGCGCATTAAATAAACGTCTCGTGTGTACGTACGCACGGTCATCGGGAGTGCGTTTAGACCAGCGCAATCGCTGGGCGGGCACATGCATTTCTCACGCTTCGATCACGACGGCAAATCGAGCGAGCGAACGAGCGAGAAAGAAAGAGAGAGAGAGAGAGAGAGAAAAGATCGCAAAAGTTACTGCCGAGTCTGGTTGCCTCTTCGAGAATTCATACGCGAAGTCATCTTTTGTATCAATCGAAAGTACAAGAAATGGCTTCTCGTTCGCACGTAAAGACGCGCGTCTTTATATCCCGACCGCGCGTGTATCTTTTCCGTCGACTGTGTGTTTATCTTCGGGTTCTCGATCGATATTTGGTTCTATTCTCGTATTTTACTGACCGCGCGCAGCCGGTGTGTGTGTGCGTGTGTGTTTTTGTGTGTGTGTGTGTGTGTGTCAGCATCATCGGCGCGACCGACTTTAATAATCCGCACGCGCCAACGTGTTTCGTACGCGTTGCGCAATGCTCGCCTGTCGACTACAGTGATTTTAAATATTTGCTCCGTGTGTCGTTTTGTGTGCGCTCGCGCGCTGGCACGCACATACCTTACGCGCGCGCGCGCGCGCACGCACGTACACATACACACACACGTGTGTTCAAGTTGCGGATTTATTCTCGCGCGCGCAAGAGAAAGTTCATCGCTCAGAGGAAAATCGGACGATCGTTTTGCGATCGGCGTCAAAAATCACTTGATCCGACTCCGTAAGAAGTCAAACGTATATTTTAACGGCCGTGTGGCAGCGCGGAACAAAGAAAACGCGCTGAATAAATTCCGTATTCTCAATCTGGATGATGCGCGTCGTTCAGCGATCTCTCAATCTCTTGACAATGAAACACCTCGATCGTCGAAACGTCGCTTCTGATGAGATTTTAATTTACGTTTAATTTTGTTAAGAGCTCGTTTGCGTAATCCCGTGCGTAAAGTTGACAATAAAAAAAAAAAAAAAAAAAAAACCGATATAATTGATTTACCGTTAATTCAGGAATTAACAGGAGAACAGGTTTTACGATTAAATTAAACAAAATGCGCGAATAAACGTAATCAAGTCTCGTTTCATTGAGTTTCAGACATTTTTTGTGTTTCTTTGTTCTACGCGAGAAATTCTGCACGCGTAATTTCCTCAACAACTCTCTACGTGTTTTCAGGATCAGTGCGTTAGCCAAGCCCGCGTAAGAAGGTCAGAAAGCACGAAGCATCTGAAGCGAGAAACCGAAGAGTCGGTGGCAGGATGTAAACGTCGCGGCTGACCGTGACGTCGCTTATTGGGAGGCGGAGAAGGAGGAGGCAGCGAAGAAGGACGCACTGGCCGTGACTTCGTCACCGTCGTCGCCGTCGCCGTCCGCGCCGTCCGCGCCGCCGACGGAGACGCGATGGACGATCGGCCGTCACCCGAGACATGGTCGGTCTGGATTTTGGACGCGATCCGGAAGATCCGCACGCAGAAACAGCGACCTAGCGTTGAACGAATATGTCACGCAATACGTCAGCATCACCATTACCACGAGGAGGAAATTGGCGAGCACCTCGAGATCGCGGTAAAGCGCGGCGATGTTCTCAAAATCTTCAACAAGGGTCAGTCCTCTTACAAGGACCCGGGCGGCTTGCAATCGAAACCGCTCAAGGTGTCAAGATCGGCGGATCTGATCAAAGTGCTGTGCAAGGCCGTGCGCGAGCTCGGTGAGCGCGAGGGTTCGACCTTGAAGAAGATCGAGAAATACATCAGACAGAGTCACACCGTCGAGGAGGACGTCGAGGGCGACCTCAGGTTCGCTCTCAGGTTATCAGCCAAGCGCGCGGTCGAACGAGGAGTCGTGTTGCAGGAGGGCAAACTCTTCCGGCAATGGGACAGACCGCCGTACCTCAAGAAACATAATGACGCTCATGCGCCGCTCACGGAGCCGCCCGCGCCCAAGGTGAGTCACTTGACCCGCTTATAAGTCACTCGACGATGATGACTCACTCTCATGTTGGACATATCGCGCGTTGTGCGACCCTCGAAATTAACGACGACGAGGATCACATTAATTGCAGTTCGTTTGCGGTCTGATCTGTGCCGCGTGTCTTGTTTTGACATCGCGAGAGATAAAGATTTGCGTTCGCCAACTGTTTTTTTTTTTTTATTCTTTATTTTCTTTTAAGTTACCAGTCGACGCTCAAACTCTCACGCGCTGTTTACGCTACGCACAAGTAAGAACGAGTCTTTAAGCCGGTAAAAAAAAAAAAAAAAGAAAAAAAGAAAAATATCGCGCCAGGTCACGGTGTAGTGCCCCTCGTTCCGGCGGGGTTGGAAACGTCGGTCGGCAGTCGCTGGAGGGAGGAGAAATAAAGGGGAGAGGGAGAAGGTCGAGATCGCCGCGGGACGATGGGCTCTATCTCGACCGACTTCCGTCCAACTCGTTTGTATATTGCTCCACTGTTATTGATCCTACGTGCCGCGGAATCGCGCTTCCTTTCTTTCTCTCTCTCTCTCTCTCTCTCCTCGTGTTCTTGCACCGAGTGCGAAAAATCGCGGAGCGCGACGCGCCGACGCGAATTCGCCAATCGTCCCGCGTCGCGCATCAGGTGGCTCGCCGCCCGGCGTCCATTTTCCCGCGTTTTTTTTTTTTTTTTTTTTTTTTTTGTCTCCGCGACCCACGCATCTCGTCGTTGTCGCTAATCAACGAGCGCGAGAGACCGAGCGATCGATTTCTTCCCGCCGCCGCTGTGTGTTGTTTGGTCGTTTCGCGAGAACAAAATTATTTGGGAAATTTTACATAGACGAGCAATACCACGCCGTGGTCCGGTTGCAATGTTTCCTTATTTGTTTTTCGTTGGCAAAAGCGAACTCGATGTGTTTGTTTGAATATTTTACAGGTTTTCCTGAAAACGTGTATGAACTGAGGAAACATTGAAGTAAATTTTTGCGATTGCGATTTTTAGCTTCGTTGCTTCGTTACCCCCCCCCCTCCCCCCCGTTTCATGTGTCATGGTTGTTAACGTAACGCGCGACAGTAGAGAAAGACACGATTATAATATATCGCTCGGAATTACGGCGACTACTGTTTCGGAGCGCGGTTTCACACACAACAGAAGTCCGAGGGGTTAAAATTAAAAGGGGCGAAGCACTCGCGGATGCACGTGTAAAAGCGCGATGCAGCGAGTCGAGCAATCGCGCAACAGGTCGCCGCTGGGTAACGACAAACGGATGCTGTTCCAACCCGCATATTTTACGCTTTCTCTTCGATTCATTATGTTGCGGACTAAATAAAGCCGACAACAATATTCGGAGCGCGTTGAGATTCGACCAAACCGCGGAAATGATTTAAAATAATATCATTGTTACGAGATTTTAAAGAAAAAACGAATTGAAAAAAACTAAGACTAGAACAAAAACTTTGTTGTGTATAATTGAAAGTCTTCACGGGTACTTTGACGATCAGAAAGAATATTTGCGAGTTTCGTCGAATTTATCATTTATCGTTGTTGCATCGTGTGTTCGGCGCAACGTGTTCCCACCCGCGCTCTTAATAAGATGCACCCCTCCGAACCGACATAAGAACCGACGTCCCTTCGTGTCTCGTCCGTTGAAATGAATAATTACGTTTCCGCGCGCCGAGACTCGTTTTGCCTTCTGTGTGTGCACGCGATGTGCGAAATGAGGCTACGTGCGATTCCGGGCTAATTATCTGCGACAGTTCGAATATATCGGTACGACGTTCCCCTCGCACGATACGCTCTTGTAGCGAACGATCGTTTTGTCAAACTGATACGTGGCAACTCTCTTGCACGTGTGACTTTCTCTCTGTTTTGATCTTCCTTTCTTTTTTCCACAACTAATTTATAAATTTGTTAATGTTCGTTAAAAAACGAAATCCGATATAAAAATGATTGAAAAGTTACATTCACGCACATTCACGACCGGTAACTTATTTTTGTATTTCGACTTCCGTTTATTTTTCGCAGTTGCCCGCTCCGCTGCCGATATGCAAGGAATGTCTGGGCGCAACGGCGGTCGGCAACAACAACAACAACAAGCGAAACGCCGCGAACGAGAAACTGAGCAGATGTAGCGTCTGCGGCGCGGCCCTGCACAACTCCTGCGCGCCACCGGAACTCTCGATCATTGTCGATCGGGGGATAACGTGGTCCTGCGATCACTGTTCGCCCATCTGTTCCGGTTGTCAGCTGGAACGAGAGTCGCAGAACTATCTCGTCAAGTGTGCCGGCTGCGTCAAGTGTTACCACCCCACCTGCCTTGACCCCGTCCTCGACAAGAAGACCAAGGCGCCCTGGAAATGTCGACATTGTCAGACGGCGCACACGCCGGTGAACAAGGACGACAGCAAACGAAGCAGAGATGCGAGCTCGTCCGAGGACACGTCAACGAGCGCCAGGAAGAGGCACAGCAAGTTACGCGAGAATCGAAAGTAAGTTTGTTCGTATGTCACACGTATATATATATATATATATGTTCACCGACAAATATACTCCCTTTTTGCGTTTATTCTGGGAATACTTAGAGTGAACGATTAAATATTTTTGTCGCAGATCGATGGTATCCAGAAAAAGCTTGACGAACGCGTATCCAGTCAAGAAGGGCACCGCAGGAGTTCCGCAGGTGGACAGCAGCTCGGACGGTACTGTTTCCCCTCGTCAACCACCTTTGATTTCCTCTCCTTTACCACAACCCCCCACCCCACTCGCAGGCCAGGGTAGGCTGCTCGAGGAAAAGAACGACAGGATCTCGAAGGAGAAGCAGAAGTTTTTTAGATTGAGTGCGTTTAATGCCGAGCACAGTAAACTGAAGCGGGTGGGGGGCGGTGATAAATCTAGGCCCTCGCGAAGTGTTAGCGGTAGGTCGACTCGGGGCGATGCCGCGAAATCAAATCCGAAGCAAGCCGGAACGTCGCAGCTGTCTAGCAGCAGTAGCGGCAGCAGCAGCAGCAGCAGCAGCAGTAGCAGCGAGGCTGGTAATAGTAGCGAGAGCTCGGAAGGCAGCGACAGTAGTGACGATGACGATGATGAGGACGACGAGGAGGGCAATAGCTCGAGCGAGAGCAGCAGCGATTCCTCGTCATCAGACGAGACTCAGGACGGAAGAATCGAGTCTCCTAAAGTGCCGTTCGCCTGCGATCCCAATGAGGACAAATTGTGGGGTTTCGCTGCAGCCGCCGCTAAACTGAATGTAGAATCGCCTTTCTTCAGTGGTATCACAAATACCTTCGGCCCGCCTTTACCAAAACTCGACGTAGGCGAGACACCGACTTTCGGTCTGCACATACAAGAACCCGCCGCTGTCAGTTCGTCAGACAATAAAAAGAAAGACAAATCCGAGCGAAACAGCGCGCAGTCGGTCGGTTTCGCGAACAAAGTCAACAAAGTCAAGCCCGGAACTGGACAGTTGAAGAGCCTTTTCGATGGTTTGAGTCACTTTTTTTCAGCATCCACAAATAGCAGAGCGAGATTAGCCGGCGCTCCGGCACCGAATTACGCACCTGATCGTCGAAAAAGACATAACGCGGGGGATATCGGTAAAACGAGTAAAATTCCGAGGAGTTCGCAGAAAAACAAACCGGACGAGTCACCTAGTAGCGCGACCAAACCGAACGAACGAAAAAAGACTGAAGTCACCGGCGAGGTAACGAGGTTACCTAAGCCTGGTATTTTTGTACCTTCGGACGAGAGCGAGTTTAGTTCGCTTAACGAGAAAATGCCAAAAATGACGCCCTCGGGTTTGGTGAAAACCGCGGTGTACAGTAAAAGACACGAGCACGAGAGGAGAAAACTTATGCGTGAGGACGCGTCGTCGCTCGTTAAATGCGCGGACACGTTGTCACCGTCGCTGTCGGTGTCGAGACACGAACAGCAACAGTCTTCACGAAAGAAGCAAACGGCTGCGGACTCGAACACGCAGATTCGCCACCCTGCGCCCGTTGTGAGATCCTCAGGCCTCGGCTCCGAATCCGTCAAATCAAATCCCAGCCTAAAATCCCATTCCCGAAATAACGCCATCACCACCAACACCACCACGGTACCCCGCGCGACACCCTGCTCCACCATGAAGGGTAAGAGTCTACCCCATCCGCTCACGTCCCTAACCTCGATGATGCACCCTAAAGAGCAAGAAGAACTTCCTTCTAATCTAATCCTCGCTCACTACCACGTGGATGTGTTGGCGGTGTGGTGTATGAGTGATATTGCATTATCATAACTTTTTGCAAGAAAACGTGATTGTTCTTTCCGTTGATGAAAAAAAATTGATGAACGAAAATTTCGAAATATTGCCGAGAGACTTGATCATTTTAAAAGTTGCGTCTCGAATATTCAGATTACAATTCGATGTGATAAATTCATTTATTTATCGCTTGAGCGTATACAGTTACAAGTCGTGAACAATCAGGTTCCTTGACAGGATACTTGTTACTACATAGTGTAAAACCAATGGTAACACACGCCGTCAATATATTTAATCGTAAAATCAAATATAGAAACGTGAGATTACGCAGATGTACGTATATGTGTGTGAGTTACAGAGAAGAAGTTAGAAGAAGTCGCGTCCTCATTTGTTTTACACTATGAGTATTATTTGTGGTTATTGCATGTTGTTAATCATTTATCTTTACTTGGCTCTGGCATTTTGTTTTTCTTTAATCCATGCTACATAAATTTGAAGATGGCTGTTAAATCAGAAAAATTATCGAAATATTATTTTGACAAAATATATCCTCACAGGCTTTTTCATTCTAAATGAACATTTGTCGTTGATTCATTGCTTTTTTTTTTTTTTTTTTTTTTTTTTTTTTTTTTTTTTTTTTTTTTTTTTTTCTCATTATCGAAATACTCTTGTACAGAATATGTAGAATACACACACAGTTTTTATCTCCAAAACGCACGATATTCGAACAACTTTCAGTTTCAGTTTCTCCGATTTTACCGATTTATGCTGGTTTTCGTACAATTTTACAAATGTACTTGACTTTTGTATATAGTTTTTTTTTCTTTTTCGAGCGCACATCCACAATTCTACGAGACACGCAGTTTGTCCGATACGTGTGTACAAAAGTTATTATTATTATTATTATTACACGAGACATGCAGATTTTTGCTGAGTGCGAAGTTCGAACGCAATAAGTTTTTATTGTGTAATTTTATACGCAAATTAAACCTCGACATACCCAGCGCGCATTACGTAAACGCTTTTGATCGAATAGTTTTTTTAGATTTATTTCCTGACCTTTCCCTGCTGCCCTCCTTCCAATCCACCTAAGAGACAACCAGGCACTGAAGAAAACACAACACCACCGGGTGGCTTATCTCAGCCGCTCTCTCTTGTATTATTCACAAAAAAACGGAGCCTACCTGCTGCTGCTGACACTTAGCAGGCACCGACCCTCTTCCCCTTTTGAACCTTCACTGAAAAAGAGAAAGAAAGATCCCTGTCGAAGAGCCAACGTTGATACTCTGCCAACACATCCCACAAAAAAAAAAAGTCTAACCCACAGCTTTGCTTTGGACTACTCACATTTATTAACAGCAGTCGAATTTGTTATTATTCGCATTCTCTTATAATATACAGCTACATGAGGTTGCTATTTGTTACCATGTCATGCTGTTCGATTAATTAATTGCGCTTTCTGTGGTTGAAATTTTTTTGTTTTTTGACCAATCGGTTTCTCCAAGGATATGACTAATTCCCCTCTTCCCCTATAAAATTTTGGCGCTAGTTCATCCGAAATGTTTTAAAATTTTCAAGTTACGAGTAAATTAGTCGTACCGTAGTGTCCACCTTGGTTTTTTCTTTTTTTTTTGTGCGATATTTTTCGTATTTTTATGAAAGTGATTGTTGCAGTGTCAACTGTAAATTTTTTTGTCCCTACGTTTTGTGACACATGACACTTGATATGTACATACTTTGATATATAAGATATTTAACGATCACAAAAATGTTTCATGAACAGGGTTATACACAAGTGTGTTCGGTGTTAAGCTCGGGACGAGAGTTTCTTTCTGAAAATCAAATCATTCTTGTTTGCAACATTCGTTCATCTCGTTTCGTTTTTTGTCTCATAGAACACATGATTTTTCGTACCCCTATGTTTTTTTTTTTTTTTTTTTTTGTCATACGGCAAACTGTTGCAGTAGTGATAGTAGGTGGCAATCGTCGTACATGAAACACAATTAATCATATCGATGAGTAAAAAAAAAAAAATAGAATGCAAAATTTTATTTTATTTATTTGAGAATTGCAGTAAGAGAAATCATGAATTATTAAAGGCGGATAACGTTTAGAATTATATATCTCTAACTGGATGAATTCTGTGTTAACATTCGTCAACGATTTTTTTTTTTTTTCTATCACTTTACAGAGGAACCGATCGTGTTGCAAACTCTGCCGCCGGGCGTCACGCAAAAGGATGTGGAACTCATCAAGGAGGCTCGCGAGAAAGCGCGGTTGACCGTCAGCAACAACGAGAGCGAGCAATCTTTGTCCACGAGCACGTTGGACACGTCCGGCAACGCGCCGCGAAATCCCGCCGTGATAGTATTTGGTCGCTACGAGGTGGAGACTTGGTATTCGAGTCCGTTCCCGCAGGAATACGCGCGATTACCGAAGCTCTTCTTCTGCGAATTCTGTCTCAAGTACACGAAGAGCCGAGCTGTGTTGGATAGGCACATGGACAAGTGCACATGGAGGTATCCACCCGCGACCGAAATCTACAGATGCGACGGATTGTCCGTGTTCGAGGTACGTGTAATTGCAATATTGCACAATTATTATTCGATCTCTTGCGCGATCGCGTGTGCAAAAAAAAAAAACTAATTTGAAAATATTTATTTGATGTTGCAGATCGACGGCAACGTGAACAAGATATATTGTCAGAATTTGTGTCTGCTGGCAAAGTTATTTTTGGATCACAAAACTCTGTATTACGATGTGGAGCCGTTTCTCTTCTACGCGGTGACCAAGAACGACAAGCACGGTTGTCATCTGATCGGTTACTTCAGCAAAGAGAAACACTGTCCGTCTCAGCGGTACAACGTGTCCTGCATCATGACATTACCGCAGTATCAGCGGCAAGGTTTCGGTAGGTTTCTCATAGAGTTCAGCTATCTGCTGTCTAAGGTCGAGGGTATCCCCGGAACGCCGGAGAAACCGCTCTCGGATCTCGGTCGGGTGTCGTATTACTCATTCTGGAAAAGCGTGGTGCTCGAGTACTTGGACGCGCATCGGAACGCGACGGAGATCAAGCTCGGTGATATCACGAAGGAGACCGGCGTGTCGGCACACGATATCAATACCGCGATGGACTTGTTGGGATTCTTCAAGACGGTTCAACTGCCTGGCGATGGGACCATCACGAAAGCGGCCCTGGTCATCGATTGGAGGAAAGTGGACGCTCACATGGAGAAAGTGCGAAAGAGTTCCCGCATCAAACTGGATCCCGATTGCCTCAGATGGATACCGTTGCTCACGCAGATTCCTAATCCCTACCAGAGCGCGGAGGAGAGCGGCGACACCGGTTCGGAAATGTCACCGGCGGTGGAGCCCAAACCTGCGGTTGTCGAGAAGATTCAAAAGGTGAAGATAAAGAAGAAGCCGAGAGGAAGAAGATTGGGACAGAGAAAATCGACGTCGTTGAAATCGACGCCGTTGAGAGCAACATCTCTTAAACCAAAAGTTTCGCAGAGGATTGCTCACAAAGACACATCCAAAGAAAACAAAGACGCTAAAGAGACGAAGGAGATCAAGACAACGAGAGAATCGAGAGAGACAAAAGACAATCGTAATGCCGAGAACGCTGAGAGTCGCAAAGAAACGGAGGTGGATTCCAAGAATGTGTTGTCCACGCCGAGGAATGCGCGCGCTGCCAACGCGGCGAAATCCACAACCCCGGCGAGTCCGCCGAAACCGATCCAGATATCGTCGATATCGAGGAGAAGGATCAGACCTCCCAAAACACTTACGACCGACACAGTTATTACACCTTTGAGAAAACGAAAACATTCCGAAATCGAGGAAGACAAGATGGAAGTTATCAGCAGAAAGAGAACGACGCGAGAATCTCTGAGAGAGAAGGAGAAGGAGCGGGAAACGGAGCGCGAAAAGGAGAGGGAGAAAGGAAGAGAGAAGGACAACAAAACGAAAGAATCTTCGAGAGAAGCGTCGATGGAAACCGGCAAAACACCGCCGAAGCTGGACTCATCTCCGCCCAAACCTGCCAAGAAGCAATGCAAAGTGGACGACATTCTACACAAAGTTACCAGCAGGCAAACCAAGTATCTGCAGGCGAAGGAGAAGAGAGCGTCGGAAGACAGAACGCAATGTAACGGCAAAGAGGAGACGCGAGATGCCAAGGTCTCGTCGATCTCCAGGCGCGGAAGAGCCAAAGTGGTGGTCGAGTCTCTGAAGATGCCCCAACTCATGCCGGAATCTCCCAGCGCGAAGAACAGAGCTGAGAGTCCTGTGGTGCCGCCTCCTTCGTTATCCCCACCACCCGAGTCTGTGAAAAACTCTTCCACCCGAAGCAAGCAGCCGTCCGAAAAACCGGAATCACCGCTCACAAAGCACTGCGGTAATGGAGACACCAAGAGCGACAGCACCATCCACGAGGACATCGGACCGCCGGTTCCCACGGAAACGGAAGTAGTATCTGCAAGTTCTGGCGAGTACGAAGGTGGCGACGAAGATGAAGGAGAAGAGGAAGAAATAGCCACACCGACACCTAAACCGATAACGCAACCGCCCTCGCCTGGCATGGAAAATTCTACAAAAGAACCGTGCGAGAACGAAAATACGGAGAACAAACTGCAGGAGGAGAAAGATAACGACGATAACTCGCTGCAGAAAGCGGAAGCGGATCCATCATCGGCGGCTGACGACGATCAGACGGAAACTGTGAACGCATGTGATAACTCTGAGACTGACAAGCGTCCTGTGAACAGTCCGGAGGCATCGAAATCAGTACCTGAACCAGTTGCTTCGCTGAAAGAGGAAGAAGTCGAGATATCGGAGAGCGTTTTGCCGAAGAAAGATAGTCACGATAGTCGTCCTAGCGATGACTCCGTGTGTGAAACGCCGAAGGATGCTAAATTAGACTTACTGCGACCGAAAGCGGAAGCTTCTCCCGCCGCGATCGCAGAGAAGAAAGACACATGCGCTCTGGTTAACACGGTTATGACGTCGGAAAGCGAGCCTCTCACGCCGCAGGAAAAACCGCCCGCTCACGTGGAACATCAGGACACGACTTTGCAGTTACAGACCCAAACGGAAGAGCTGAAGCAACACTCGCCTGAGAGTGGCAAGACGACACCACATCTGGAGAATCCGGGATCTGTGAAGAGAACTCCACCGTCGCAACCGGATTTACCGTCTATGGGTGTCTACACACCTGATTCAACGACAAACTCGGTACACTCCCTGCATTACGGCCAATGCGATTTGGACGTTAGTCAATTGGGTCTGGAATCGCCCACATCCATAGCGAGTGACCTGGCGTCGCAGAACAGCGTGGAGAGACCTCCCAGTGCTTTGCCGTCAATCCCGCCGGCTGTCAGCGTGCCGATTTCGGTTTCCATGCAAATTCCCACGCCGGTAACGTCATCGGTGCCGGTGAACATGCCGCAGCAGGTCCAGTACACCGATTGTTCTCTTCATACGACATCGGCGCATCACCCGAGCATTCACTCTATGCATCAACCGCACACTCCGCAGTCTCTTCAACAACCGCGCACTCCGCAGTCGCATACGCCTCAGAGTATACCGACTCAGAGTCCGCAACCGTTGCCCCAGAGTCACACGCCGCAGCCGTTGCCGCAGTCTCACACGCCGCAGAGTATACCGACGCAAAGTCCTCAGCCGTTACCGCAGAGCCATACGCCGCAGCCTCTGCCTCCGTCGCACACACCACAACCGATGCAGCTCTCGCTTGCGCAACAGAGCCAGAGTATGGCTCACAGTCAGGCTCAACAGACGCAATCGCAGCAGCAACAGCAGTCGCAACAATCCGCTCATCAGCAACAACCGCAACAGCAACAGTCTCAATCACACAGCAAACGAGCGAGCAGTTCGCAGACCACACACAGATCCAGATCGACGCAGCAGAGCAGCAGGTCGCACCGCGCCACTCCGCCAACGCCGCACTCGCAAGCGTCCCAGCATAACGTCGCGACGTCGCAGACCAGTCACAGCAGTAACAGCAGCAGCGTGACGCACTCGGCCCACGTCGCGGTACCGCCGCATTATCAGCAGTCGCCGTCGTCGATGAGCGTGCCGCCGACAGTACCGCATCCTCACTCACACACTCCGCACGCCGCGCACTCGCACAATATGGCAGTGATCTCGCAGGGCAATTACATGGTTGCGGCGAGTTCACAGGGTTTCCCAACCCAGAATACGTACGTGATCCAACATCGGAGCGGTCGTTCCGGCGCACCTACGCCCTGCACCACCGCGACGAACTTCTACATACAAACGAGCCCGATGCCTCCGCATTCGCATACACCGGCGCCGACGCCGCTTCCCGCATCCGGGAGCAGTCATCAAACCACCAACTCCTGTAGTCTCGCCAAATTGCAGCAGTTAACTAACGGTCTGGAAATGATACCGCCAACGCCACCGCCGGCGATGAACCTCACACCACCACCGCCGATTCCGCACACCATGACGCCGCCCCAGACGTCGCGGCAGCTGCCTACGCCGCCCCAGGTGCCTCTCGGCTACGCGAAGAACTATTACAACGTCAACAGCGTACCGCCCGGCACCCCCGGGCCGCCCAGTCGCTCCACCTCCAGGTCGTCCGCGAACGCGAACATGGCGTCGCTCGCGCAACCTTATCCCAGTGAGAGTCTTTATCGGCAGACACTCGACCCGAGCAGCACGTGTCCGCAGATGCAGAGCGCCGCGAGTCGCATCAGCTCCAACGTCGCTCTCAACACGAATCTCATGACGGCCGCGCAATATGGCTATCGGGTGGCGCAGCCAGCAACGGGCTATATGAACCAGGCGGCGCAGCTTGGCGGTTTTATGAATCAGGCGAGTCAGTTACCGGTCGGCGTGGTGAACGTCCCGACGCCGTATCCGCAAGATCCGCTCCAGCAGAACCCGGCGGCGGTTTACACCACTTATGGATACGTGAACGGGAGCCTCATGCAACCTCTCAACAGCACAATGAGGCCGCGCTAGCTGTCATGCTCCTCGCTCGCTTCGATCGAACCTCGAGCGAATAAACGAACTTCTTTTTCTTCGCGCGACAAGTTAACGCTCTCTTCGACACGGCTGTCGGCGGCGACCGATCTCCGGATGTCCACGACATAATTCGATCGCCGCGGACACTCGCAACTTCCTCGACTGCTATTACGTCAGTTGCTTCCATCAGTTTTTTTTTTTTTTTTTTTTTTTTTTTTTTTTTTTTTTTTTTGCCAGCTGGTGCTACGCGCCGGCGGCTCACCATTCCCGTCCTTTTCTTCTCGTCTTAATTCAGGGACTTTGTGAAGCCTAAGAAAGCAAA